GTTGCGTGGGCGGCGCCGTGACGGCAAGCCGCGCATCGTACTAAGACGTGCTGCCACATACGAGCTACTCCCACCCACTCGACGGCCGCAGACCAAGATCGAGTGTGCGCCTGTCTGCTCGGTCGAGCAGATAGACGAGGCACTGCGTCGGCTCTCTGTGGCCGTCCACGCGCGCGTTGTCTTGTCTCATGGCGCAGTCCACTGCAGGACAGATAGACGGCGTTGAATCTCGCACAATGCTTTGGATCTGCTGCGTGCATGACCAGATTGTATAGAGTATGCGACAATGCAGTCGTGCGTTGCTATGAGATCGAGCGACTCGCGATCCTCGGAGCTCACTTTGCACTTTGCTCGCAACCACAAACACAACAGCATCAAAACAATCATGGTCGGACTGCTCTCGACGATGCTGATGACACTCGCCACGACCGCGGTCGCTCAGATGGGCGGCTGGTCGCCTGTGACCGACCCGAGCGTCCAGACGGCGCTCACGGCCATTGTCTCGGACCCTGCCAACTATGCCAATGTCACCACCCGTCTCTGTGCCACCGACGTGGCGTGGGCCACGCAGCAAGTCGTTGCTGGCGTCCAGTACCACGTCGGCGTGCACGGCTGCAAGACGACCGCGACCTCCAACTGCTCGTGCGATGGTCAGCGCCATGCGTACTTGGTGACGGTGCTCGAAGCTATCAACGAGCCTGTGCGCATCACGGCCGTTGTGGCCACTGACGAGACGACGGGTCTCGTTGGCGGCGTGTCGGCGCCGGTCCCTGCGACGGCGGACGACAAGCTGCTGTACGTGCGCGCCGTGACCAAGGACGCCAACTTTGCGTCGGCGAGCGTGCCCCGTGTGTGCCCCGTCGAGTTTGTGTCGGTGGCCAAGCAGGTCGTGAGCGGCATCAAGCACATTTTCATCGTGCGGGGCTGTGCTCTTGTGCCCACGGCCCCCCTCAACAACGTCTTTGACTGCGCATGCGAGGCGCCCAAGACGTACCGCGTCGAGATCTACGAAGACGCCGCGCGCCACATCCAGGTCACAAACGCCGTCGTCCAAGCCTAATCGAGACAAATCTACGTGTATTTTGTACAATTTTGGCTATCCGGACACAGACAGAGGGATCAAGGTGCACGATTGTATCAACTTGGAGTTATAGGAAGTAGGAGAATTGGACTTGTGGACAACCAGGAGCGTTTTTCTTGGTCATATCGTTACGTTTGTCCGCTCATTTCTTGTGGCAGTAAACTTGATGGTTTTCACCCTGCCAGTTGTTGGCAAGGCGGGTTAGGTTTGGACTGACGCTAGTACCAAGTGTCACTATACAGTGACTATACCGCCACTTCCTCGTAGACTGCGACTTCATCAAGGACGTGTGGAGCACCCTCCGCGCGGTCACGGCCCCCTTGGGTGTAGTCTTGCCGACAACACTCTCGGGCTACCTCTACTCGACGCCGAAGACGGCCTCCAACATGCACCGAGCCGCGTTCCGCTACCTCTGGCCAGTGCTCCGCGCCTGCGTCTGGTTCAACGTCTGGCGCGTCCGCAACGATCGCGTCTTTCGCGCCGACCTCCCACTGCCAAGCCCATGGACGATTGCCGTCAAAGCGGCGCGTGTCGCTCAAATGCACTTGCACCACAGCCTCGTTCATAACCCAGGGAAAATGGCTCTACGTCGCCTTCTCCGGCTCCTCGCTCAACACGAGTGGCCGCGCCAGCACCTTGTCCCGCGGATCGCGCTCCTGCCTCCGCCGGCCTAGATCAAGATCATCACCAGCGCCTACACAACGAAGAAAGTCCGACAATTTTATTTAGCGTAGATTTACGTATCTATTTTAATAGAAGACCCACTTCAACAACAACTATAAAGTGACTATACAGCTATTTATTGCCCCTTGCTAGTACGTACTAGTCCTTTCACGCATCCTCTGTCGAGATCACTACACATTGTCATCGAGAGCTTATCAAAGAACGAGCCGTAAGCAACTCGTCGATAGCAAAGGAATCGCACCAAGACACAAGTAGTCCAGGGATGATTCCAATCATTTTTTGTCCAGAATGACGAGCCAGCGAAAAGGCCGTTTAAGGAATCGAAGGTTAAAACACAAGAGATTGCCAAGGCACGGACGAGCATCGTATCTTTTACGCCTGTAACTCCTCGATAAAAGGCGATACCGATCATGCCACTCGCCAAGCTGGCAGGCGCCAAGATATTCGTGTTTGCGCCAAAACGAGCGTGCTCGGAGTTCGAGAAACGGAAATGCGAGACCACCGTACGAGCAAATTTCAGAGTCTACAAGGTGCAGTCCGCGAGAAGGTTAGGATAAGAGGATCACAAAAGGTCTGTAGGTGTACATGGTAAAAAAATCCGAAGTGGAGCATGCAGTACATCGACGAGAAGCTTATCTCTGAAGCAAAGCTGGCTCCGTTCGAAACGAGTTCGAGAGTCACAAAGCACTTTGCCGGACAAGGAGTAGCTACAGTGGTTGTAGTGGGCGACGACAGCCACTGAGTGACTTGACACGGATATCGTACATCGACCCAAGCGTTAAACGCATTAAACGCGTATTTTGCCACCGTCACTGCCCCATCAGTTTTGCCTCGTGGCAGAAAATGCAAGTGGGTCAACAATGCCAAGTGATTTATACAGTTACTGTATTGCCTTGGTCAAAGCTTTCGATGCCACGAGTCGTTTGCACGAATACAATAGCGAGTGTGATTCGATTACGTTAAAACAGTTTTGAGCTATCGAGAGGAGGTAAAATTCATCCCACCCTTGAGTTCGTATATATCCCTAGCTTCAACGGTGGCCAATGAGAAGCGACTCAATGGCACCCGCAGGAGACCGTCATGGACGCCTTCTTGTCAGCGCCCAGCAAAAATGGTCATCGTCATTCATGTCAAAGTCACACTGCAACTCGCACTGCGTTGCACGGTCGTGCGCCTTCAACGAACAACAACAGTTGCTATGGCGCTTCTTGACCAAGCTTCGCTTGCGGCATTCGAGGTGGAAGCGACGATGTCGCACTTCAACATGCACAGCGTGCTCCATCGATCCACTGAGCTTGTTGCAGACGTCCCTCGTGCATTGCTAGCCAATACGTTTCGCTGTCATTGTCTTTTCCAATCGCATCTGCTCATGCAACTGCAGTCGAGGATTGAGGCTCCGGTAAATGCCCATTTCCAAATGTGAAGACGCACCAGAGTGTTCAAGACGCACGTTTTTTAGTAAAAACAGTGGTCAGTGGGACAACGCATTGCCCATCGCGGTTGCGTTGGCTTGAAGTAGCTTGATCAGTACTCGTCGTCGCGGGATGTGGCGCATGGGTGGCAGCGCGCGATCGGTCGGCAATTGTCCAATGATATCGCGGCATTCCATCGCGTAGCCAATCACTGACGACGTTACCCAATGTGATCCACCGAGTTCAAAAAAGATCGCCGATCATCGCCTCGGCTGCCTCACGCAATCCTCGGGCGCAAATGCAAAGCAACCACGACGACGCCCACTAGGTCACGCTTCTAGTCGAGTCGAGTCGAGTCTATTAGTCGTACACCACGTCGATGCAGAGCCTAGTCGAGGACCCCTAACCCGCAGCTCGAACTCGCCAGCGCCCTCAACCACCGGAGCGGACGAGCCACGCCACGGGTGTATCGGTACTGAAAACCAATGGGCTGGATCGATCCAGTAGCGAGCGTACCCCTGTCAGCTCAGCACCGCAGACCACTGACGTGCTTGCAAAAAAGCCCCACCGTATCAGGGACCGTCGCGCCACATGTTGTCCGTTGGCGTGGCCATCAGAAAGCAAAGCGACGTCACGCGGGCCTCGTGTTTATACTGAGGACATCCGCGGCGATGGGCGTTTGGACGCGAAAAAAGAAGACGCGGTAGCCGACAGCAAGCGTCCCGATCGCCCTTGGCAATAGAAGCTAGATGGGCCTCGTCCGAGTGATATTTGATGTATGGTCAAGTGCCATGTACATTGTACTGTCGAGGAGAAGCACGAGTATCCATGATAGCGATGGTAACACCACCTGCGCCGAATTTTGCGGCCATGTCACTGCTCGAGGCTTGAAGCAGAAGCCGACGACGAAGAAGGGTCTAGGTACTCGAGTGCAGCTTGATCGAGTCGCAGAGCCACCAATATGTGCTGTGGGACTTCACCAGTCGCCCGCATCTTGCGTCCAGCGCAGTGCACCCTGCGACACATTAGTGTGGCCGTACGGATGGCCACGAGCGCAATTCGTTCAAGTAAGTTGCTTCAATATCGCAAGTTCCCGCCTCTGCAGTCTTCTTCGTCGATCTGAATGGGACCTGCCATCGTACGATTGGCGATAGGCCAACCGAACGCTTCCATCCTTACGAGCTCCATCTCTCGAAAATGCTAGCTTTGTCTCTCGTAACAAATAGAGTTTTCTGCGAGCTTGGTGGCAAGTTAGAGGAGGGATGCAGCGTATCGACAGGACCACGTGGCAACAGTGCGATTACTCTCGCTGTGCAAGGCAGAGCGAAGCGAGCTAGCAACGCGGCAATCTTGCTTTATCAAGGCGGCGACCAGAGACTTGGCCGAGAACGGGATTTCCATGTACTTTTTTAAGGCAATTCCGTGCCCCTCTCGATCTTTCCGGCCATCGTAGCCGTCGAGGGACAGGCGCCAGCTGGCGGCCAAGGGCAATGTGGCCCATCTGGTCGCAGCAGGCGCTGCGTTCGAGGTGCTCCACTTCTTGACTTGCCATCATGCACCCGACCGAGAGTGCCTCGTACATGATGTCACTGCCGCCGCTGCATGCGTTCCAGCGCCACCACGACACGGACGCAATGCACTCGACGTCATTGCCGCCCATCAAGCTCGCGCCGTCGTACGAGCCGACGCGGCCGATGAGCAACTTTAGCATCGAAGTCATCACCGGTAGGAAGCCATCGTCGTCCGCGCATCCAGAGGCTCATGCGTCGTCTCTAGGTATGTCGTCGCCACCCGCGTGCAAGAAGCGCAAGATGGGCATGTACGACATCATGGACGCCGAGCCGACGCATGCGACGCATCCGCCGGTGCCGTCGTCGCTCACGATCTTCCCGTCGCAGCGCCGAGGCTCGAGCCGCCGCCGCCCGGCGACGATCGCGCGACTCAAGAGCGGCAAGGACATTTGCGTTGTCGCCCACGACGGCGTCATTGACTGGCTCGACACGTACTTTATGTATGGCTTTGACGCCAACTCGATCTTTGGGTCGCTCTGCCCCGTCGAGAAGGGCGAGTGGGTCCAAGAAGAGCTCGACTACCTCCGGCAGCTCCTGCATCTGATCAAGGCCGGCAAGATGCGCGTGCCATTTGGCAAGTCGCTCGACACATACCTCAGCGACCGCCTCCACTCGGACCTCACGCGCATGCGCAAGCAGCTGCAGATGATGCAAGTGCAGACGGACGTGCCGCGCCTCGCCCACCTCCATCCCATGACGGACGACGAAACGAGCGCGCTCAAGGACGTCAAGATGCGCTTCTTGCTCCACCACCAAGGCAGCGTCGTCGACCAAATGCAAAATCAGGCGCTCGACCAGTCGTGGGTCCTCTCGCTCAAGCAATAGCTGGCGAGATGGTATAGAACGTTAGGATTAGGTAGTTTAGTGTTGTCAACGGAGAGACGCCCGGGAGGTTGGATCCCGGGCGTCGCCGTGCGTGTAAATATACAGTGCTTTGTTTCTTGGACTTGATCGGCTGCGCCGTCCGAGCATGGCTACTGCAACGTGCCTATCCCCGTCCCTCGTCGATCGAAACGAGAGCCTCCCGAACCCTGTAGGATCCAAAATTGCTGCAATAAGATCGCAATAAGATGACACCAGCACGTCACATGACGTGGAGCGCGCGTGGCGTTCGTTGCCGGACGCGCGCCAAAGCGCACGTTTTATACTGCACTCGGGCCGCGAGCGACCGACGGGCCGGTCGCAGCAGTCGGAGGAGACGCAATCAAAACAGATGCCCAAGGCGTTTGTGGTCGCGAGCGATATGCACCTGCCGCACCAGACCGATGCGAGGAAACCAGCTGGCAGAAGCTGCGACTGATTGCACCTACGCCTGTTCCACCCACGGCCATCAGCTGCGGTCAACCAGCGTTGTTCGTTGGTTTTGATTGTTGGCTCCCATGGGTTGATCCGGCAAGCGACGACGCTGCTTGTCGTGCCATCAAAAACAACGCAGGCGTCGAGAGGTTAATGCAGCCTGGGATCTGCCATTCCAAATGGCTCGTAGTAGCCCTGCCAGTTGTAGCTCCTGTAGGGCTGAGGGCCGTGAGAGATGTTCTTGTACCAGCTACTGACAACGACAACCAAACTGGCGCACGACCACGACACTGTATACTCACTATATGAGCACGGCAGCGCACCATTCAAGCTGCAATGTGCCAGTGCGCCTGCTGCCAAGCCTGTGCACTCGAACGGTCCGAGCCACCCTTCCTCTTCGTTACTTGACACCAGGACACTTGGCCTTGGTCTCGGCTCTTGAATGAGTGGCCTTTTACTGAGCAACTCTGACGCAAATCTGAACCGTCGTCGAGGGTTTGGATCTTGTTGGTTTCGTGGCAACCGTCGGGCAACGACCGAGCATTCTTGCATTCGCGGCCACGTCCCCATGAGCTTTTGCTCGACCCGTTTGTACCAGCGCAGCCTCGCCGCGCTTAGCCTGCTCACATCGACGAGCCTCTTTGGCTTGTGCGTCTATGGCTTCCGCAACCTCGCACTCGGCTCGACGCTCGCCGAGCTCGAGGCGACGACGAGCCATGGCGTCGTGCTCTTCCTCGGGCTCACGCTCAGCACGCTTCTCCTCCTCTCGGAGCTGCAGTGGCACCGCTTCTACGTTCTCTTTGGCTTTCTCATGTACCGGTGGGGCCGCGCGTTCACGTTTGGCATTGCAGGTGCGATCGCGTCGTCAAACGTGTCACAGAACCTCTCTGCGTAGGCAGCATGGCGCTGCTTGTGGGCACGAGCCGCGGCAGCTGCACATCGTCGTGCATCGAATACTACCTCCTCTTCATCGATGGCGTAGCGTGCCTCGTTGTCGCGGGCCTGCACCTGACGGCGATCCCGGTCCTCGGCGCCAACCGCGCCGTCCATGATGACGTGGCAGCCGTGCAGCTGGTACACCTACACAAAGATACTCCAAGTGCAATGTGGCGGTCCTAGGCGGACGACGACGACGTGCCCGAGGCGTCGGCGCCGACCACGATCAGTTCGCACGTAAGCGCTGCGCTTCGAAAGAAAGGCAAACCTTAGTCATCCAAGGACGCCGAGAAGGACCCGAACCTCCCCGCATGGATGCGAGCGTAGCGCCTCGCTGTATTCAACCGAATGTGTTGTTGCATCTGGTTGACAAGCCCAGCGTCGTTGCTGGAGCACAGACGGTGCATTTCCGCAGGAATCGCGGGGCCGATGCCAGCGGCGAGCGCCAGAGCGAGTCTCTCAACTTGCTATCGCCACTGGTATAACTCGAGCTCGTCCTGGCTTCGCCTCGCGAGCATGGCCAACGACAACAGGAAGGCCATATTCGATTTCGCCAAAGTCGTGGAAAGCGTCTGGGGCCTGGCACGCTCGTCACTTGCTGTCGTTGGCTACATGTCTGGTGCTCGTACCAGACGTACTGGTGCAAGCAGTCGTCTGGGCAAGGCAAGCACACTTCGCTTCTTGGACTTGTTTCTGATTTGAGATTGTTATACATGCACTCGCTTCACGCCTGCATCCAAGCTGGCAAGTTGGGGTTGGTTGGCGACGTCGACTTGGTCGTCGCTGCAGCAGGGGCCTCGAACGGCGACTAGGCAGTGTCCTGTGAGTTGGGAGGGACCTACTTCACGATGTACCCGCGTCTCGACAGGCGCCGCCGCCCGCGTCGAACCAAGACGCACGGTCGCAATATCGATCGCCTGCAAATCGACGGAGCACATGGCGCACACGACATCAAACGTACCTTGTCTGTCGGTTGCGCCACGAGTTGCGACTTGCTCGCGGCCTTGTCCTCGACGGGCGCCGTGTTGTTGGCGCCCAGCACCGGAATCGCAAGCAGCTGGAGCACGCCTGTCACGAGCAGCGCAATGCCTTCGGCGAGCAAGAGTGTATACTCGGTGCAACCCGTGCAGCCGCTGCGCGTACGCCCGACGAGGATCGTCATGATACCTACGCGCCATGAGCAGTGACCTCGTCAAGCGCGTAGCGCACCCGACACGACGTAGAGCACGGTGCGCCCGAGGCGGTAGCGCAGAAAGCCAAAGAGGAAGAAGAAGCGCTCCCAGCGAAATTCGCCGAGGAAGAGGAGCGTGCCAAAGGTCACGCCGAGAAAGAGGAGGCAGCCGTCGCTTGTCGTGGCCTCGACTTGGTCCATGCTCATGACCGATGTCTTGGCGAGCTTGTTGAAGCCAACAATCGAGAGCAGCACAAGGCAGCCGCAAGCCGAGAGCGAGAGCGTGCGCAGGCTCTTGCGGAAGAGCGTGATCTGGCGCGGCTCGGTACTCGCAGGGTCCATGGGCGCGTACGGCGAGGCGAAGCTAGGCAGGCAGAGGAGGCGGGCCGTCGTGGGTTGCGGCTGGGCGTCTCGGTCGCGGGCTCCAGACTGGGCTGCCACCGTAAAATTAGCTGCAAAACGCCCAAGATCGCGTTGGGTAGCTCCCTTCTTGCGACGATCTTAGTGCATTGCGGTACTTTGATCTTGAAAATAACTCAATGCGGTTATTACCCCGCATTGACTCTGTAGTTGTATGCTAGAGTTCGAGATATTTTAAGATGGCATTATAATGTTTTGCTTCAAGGCATAATTTTATTGGGGTATTTTAATAAATATTCCATTTCGCTAAGGCTTCATTCATGCATTGAGATAGATGAAGAATGTCAAAATGTTATTTTCCCTAACCGGTTGCGGTGCGGTGTATACAAACACCGAGTCTACGTATCCGGACATTGCTTTCACCACGTTGGACTGAGCTGGAGACATGCCCATGGACCCGGGCCGGATCGTCGAGGCCGCGCCGGCAGGCGCCCATGTATGCATCCATGACCCGCATCTCTACGACTACCTCTCGACGAGCCAAGACGTTAGCTACCTACGTGCGCTGTGCCCGGCCATCGACAAGGCGGTGAGCCACAGCCACAAGAACGATGCCATCAAGATCGCCTTTGTGCCAGCCTTGTACAAGCTGTCGATGAGCTGGTGCTACCGCGCGACGCGCTTTACACACGCTGTCGTGGCGCTCGTGACGGCCAACGCCTACATCTCGACGCTTGGCGGTCCGTGCTAAACGCGACGAGCCTCCTCTCATGCTGCCGTGCTGTAGGTGGCTACTTCCTCTGCCGCCACTTGAACCAAGCCAAGCTCATGGCGCAGCTCCAGATCTGCGTCTCGCAAGGCCTCCAGGACCCCATCTTGGCCAGGTATGACGATCATTTTATATCGGCCGATTGGTGCTAGCCACCCTAGCAAATGCCGCATCAACATGGCGTACGGTGCGATGGCCCAAGGCAAGTTCAAGCGCGCGTACAAGCTCTTACAGGACGAAAGCGCGACCGCCGAGGTACTACGCTGCGCTCTTCTCGTGGATGACGAAGGCCAATGCGATGATGTTGCAGGCGCTGCAGAGCGACGACCTGCGCAACGTCGTCCATGCAGCCAACGTCTACTTGCGCAAGACAATTGTACTCCACAAGCAGCTCTTGAAGCACGAAGAAACCGACACGACGCGCGTCGTCGACGAGTACTACCGCCAACGCGTCGTTAAGCGGTAACACATTGGTATAACCCAAACAGAAAGGCCATCCTGACCAATGCAACCACCGACGGTCGCCACAAACATTGCTCGATCGTTGACCCATGATCGGATGGGCAGCCGGTCCTGTTGTCCGACAGGCGGGCGGGTAGCTGGCACTCGGGATCGTCCTGTACTTGCACAGGTCTGCGGAGACATGCCCAATATGAACAAACGACGTTGATATTACTCGGGATAAGGACAAAAAATGAGGCGCTTCGATCGCGCCGTCGACTCGTAGTCTCGACTAGACGCTGCACGAGAGGTGGCACGTGCGTCGACAGAGCGGACACGTGTTGTGCTGCGCGAGCCACGGGCCAATGCATTTGGGATGGAAGCCGTGGTGGCACGGCAGCGTCTGTGGCGACGTCAACAGAGTCTCGAGGCAGATGGCGCACTCGACGATTGGGGAGCTCGGCGCGACGGGCGGGGCGGTTGGGACGTTGAGGTGCACGTCGATCAAGCTCACGATCGCCGATATCATGGGCGCGTCGTCGCCAGCCACGTGCTTTTCAAGGCAGCGCTGGCGCAAGATGAGCACGAGTTGCAGAAACTGCACGAGCCGCAGCGCTCGCGCGCGCGTGCGGTCGTACGTCGCAAAGAGGTCGCCGATCCATTGCTTTTGCGGAAAGACTTGGTCAAAGAGTGGGAGAAGGTGCCGGAGCCAGTCATAGTTGGCCGCGATCGGCGCCAAGAAGCGCGTGAGCACGCGGTGGAACGTGTGCATCTCCGAGTAGCGCCGCGTGAGGCGCCACGGCGATCCCATGCACGGCGACGAGAGCGTCAGGATGTAGACCGTGTACCGGGCGTGCTTGCCGCGCTCGGTAAAGAACTGCAGCGGGCGGCTTTGGATCGTGACGTCGTCGAGCACCATGGTATATGTAGGTAGCGTCGAGAAAGATAAAGTGACAGAAGCGAGCGATTGCGCGCTTTGGACTGACCACTCTGCAACGGCGGGATCGAAAATGTATATGCTCTTCCGAAACGAATGGCGCCGACGAAGAAGAAGAAAGGGCCAGTCGCCGCAGCGCGCTGTCTCCTAGTCCCCACCGCCATGCGTCAGAGGCATCTACAGTGTACTAGCAACATGACCGAGGCAGGCCCTCGGCGACCGGCGACGGCGGTACTTCGCTCGGGCGTCTACACTGTACCATACGGATGCAACGCACGTTACACTTCTGGGCACTTGGTGGGACGCCACGTCATTCGCTTCATGTTTGGGTGGCTGCACTGACCTTCAAGCCGATCTGCGACATTCAAAATCGTATTTATCGGAAATTTCTCGTCGACCGACATTAGCTCAACGTGTCCCCACTGGACGCAAGGGGACGCGTGGTGCCTGCGCCGTTCAGTGGGACAGCGTCCATAGTGTTCGTATGTTAGCTCCATGCGAGCAACGGTGGTTTACGTTTGATGCCAAGGGTGCACGACACGTAGCAGTCGCAGTCCAATTCCTCATACCGATAAACATCATTTTGATTTTCCAGTTTAGCCAAACACCCGTTCGAGCAAGTCGGGCGACTTGACTGTGTTGCGATGTGTGGCGCGGCCGAAGGCGCGTAAAATTCCTACGCATATCTCATCTCCCGTTCCTCATCTCTCCACGACTCGAACCGACATGGAACGCTCCGCTACTCGTCGCCGAACCAGCCAGAGACCCACGCTTCGAAATCGGCGTCGTCGTCTTCCGGTCCTTTTTCTATGGCCAACTCGCAATACAATCGCAATCTCCTTTCCATCTACCTCGTTTCTTCTTGGACGGAGACGACGTGGCTGCCTCTTTTCGCTGTTGGCGCTTGGACGCTTTCAAAAGGGATCGGGGTTGGGGCGTGGCTTTTGCGAACGAGTGGAGGCAGCGCTTGATATCGGGGCGGAGTGCATTCGTCGCACATCTACGTCCGCGTTCTCAACTGGATCGAGGCGATAGCAGCGCGTCACCGTAGCCGGTCGGCTTCACTCAACGTCACGTCCTTGCTATTGGCGTAGCACGACAAGAGAAGCGCAACAATGTCCTTGTGGCCACAAAGCTGCACATGGCATTAGTAGCGATACGCGAAGAGTGGCGCGAACACTGGCATAGTAAATCGGAAGGTTGTCAAAGGCGTCGCGCTCGCTCCACGCACTGACGCCATCCTGTAGCAGTGTCTGGACGACATCAAGGTGTCCGAGCTTGCACGCGACCCAGATGGTCGGTGGCGTTGGCGGTGCAACGTCTTTGGGCGCCAGAAAGGCCACCAGCGGCGCCGTGTTGGTGATGGAAGCGCCCTGCTTGAACGTGAGTACCCGTTGAAGTCGGTGGTTGCCACCGTCGTGGAATTCTCGCATGCACACCCCAAGCGCTGCAAAGTGCTAAGGAGCTCGTCGATAGCAATGTGAAGTCCATACTCGTGCGTCAGCATCGTCGCTATCTCTGGCAGCAAAATTGCACCCCGTTGGTCCTAGCTCGTTTGCTGCAGCAACCTCGGTACATGCATGTCGTACCGATACGCATTGCGTCAACGCCAGTGCGAGGCGCTCTGTGCTCAAGACAGTCGGGTCCTCGTTGTGCTGCTTGAGCAGGAGCCGCCGCCGGTGGACGTGGGCAGACGACGCACCGCTCCCCATGCTGTCGGAACACTAAACTTAGTTGCCAATCGCGACTCGATTTATCTTAGCGGCGTAGTACATGTACTAGTACACTGCGCGTTTAGGGCAAGAAAGGCGAGATCTACGACCTGGCAGTAGCGGAATGCCGTTGACGCGTTGACGGAACATAGATACATAGTCACGCACAAACTACAAGACGGTGTCGATCGGCACGCGGTGCACGACGACGCACATTTCGATGACGTGGCAACGCCTCCGGCCACGTAAACCGGTGTGTGTACCGGCTACGATTTTCGGCTACCGGTTCGGCGCCGAAAAACCCAGGTTGGTTGGTCCGAAGTTGGTTGTGTTTCTGCAGCAAAAGTTCGTTCGATGGAGAGGGACTGCACCGATCAAATCGAGCGCGATGAGTTTGAGCTTTGTGTCTCTACGCTGCGTGGAAGGCTGGTCGAGTTGATAGGCCGGTGTCTCGGTCGTCGGTGGACTGTGTATACCGCTCGTGTCGCAAACACTTCCAAATAGGATTGCATATCCTTTTTGTTAATAACTCATTTCAACAACACTTTCAAGTAGGAAGACCAGGCATGCGTTGCATGAGCTCGACAACTGCACAAACGAATGTACATACCGTAGGTTGATTCCACACTTATGTTCGGAATCATATTTGTACCCGTTGCAAGATATATCTACAAATATATTGCTCCCATCGTGTAGCCACAACAGCGAGCGTCCCCGAACTCACGTATGCGTCGCTGGACATGCAGGTTGCACCGTTCGAGTTGCTTCAAGAACCCGGTGCGCGCCTTGTTTCCATAC